GTGCCCACAAGCCTGTTGGTACTCACAGGCTCATGGAGCTGCGGCGGAGGGAGCCCGACTTGCGCTTCAACGTGGTGCACACCAGCAGGTCCGTGAAGAGGAAGAAGGAGCGGTCCTTCTTCCCACCCACCGCCTTCTGCAGAGCAGTGGGAGACGCCAAGGGGTTAATATCTGCTCCCTCCCCTCCCCGCTGCCAGTGCTGGGAGCGGCCCCTGCCTCAGTTTCCCCACATGCTGTGGCTGCGGGGTGGGATGGGTGCCATGCCACCATCTGCATGGGGACCGGCCGTGTCCTCATGATGGTGAGAGGGGACATGGGTGCAATGGCCGTGTGAGCAAAACCACAGGGTTCCACTTGCGGGGAAGCACCAAGGCCATGGGAACATCAGGCATGGGCTCACCAGGACCCCACGGTCTCCACCTCCAGCCTCCCTATCCACTCCTGGCCTGGGGCTGCCACGGGCCCTCCCTGCCTCCTGCCTGCTCCCAAACCCATCTTATCTTCATCCACACTTGGGGAATTTTATTTTGTCCCCATCGATCTGTCGTCGATCCATCTGTCCACCCATCCTTCCATCCATCCCTTCATCCATCCACACTTCCATCTCTTCCATCCACCTTCCATCTGTCTGTTCTTTCCATCCATCCATCCATCCATCAATCCATCCTTCCATCCACCCCTTCATCCATCCACCCTTCCATCCTTCCATCCACCTTCCATCTGTCTGTTCTTTCCATCCATCCATCCATCCATCCATCCACCCATTCATCCATCCTTCCATTCTTCCATCCATCCTTCCAGAATCATAGAATCATAGAATATCTCAAGTTGGAAGGGACCCCTAAGGATCATCAAGTCCAACTCCCTGCTCCTCGCAGGATGACCTAACACTAAGAGCATCATCCAGATCCTCCTTGAACTCTGACAGGTTCGGTGCTGTGACCACTGCCCTGGGGAGCCTGTTCCAGTGACCCACCACCCTCTCAGTGAACAATCTTTTCCTAATGTCCAGCCTGAACTTCCCCTGATGCAGTTTCCATCCTTCCATCCATCCACCTGTAGCCTCCCATGGGCACACAGGCACCCCATAACCCTCAATCACGGCCTCCCACTGCCCCATCCGATGTGTGGTCCCATGGCCCTGATGATGACAAGGGACCACCCCGCTCTTACCACTTCCACGACCATCTCCTGGCGCAGGAATCTGCGGAGTGGGGCCTGGAGCTGTGGGGACAAGGAGGCTCATAAGTGGGGAGCCCCGGAGGGGGGGACCCTCGTCGGCTTTGTCCCTGCCCCTGTGGCTCTCGGGTTCAGACCTGGCACCCCAGCCCCTTCCCAAGCTCCCAGGAGCCCACCAAGGCCAAGTGATGATGAGGAAAGCAGAACTCGGAAAAGAAAACAAGTGGCCTGGCCTGGGGTGACCCAGAAAGAGCAGAAATGGTTGCATTTTGGGGAGAAGGAAAGGCTGACCCTGGGTAAGACCCCAGTACATACATCCTCCATCCCTTCGATGTGGGACTCAATCTCCTGCACGATTCGGGCGTTCCTCTCCACCTCCTCTGCGCTCTTCATGCCCTTGTTGATCCTCTCGGCCACTTGCTTGATGTTGCGCTGGGCGTCGATGAGGAAAGGGTGGTCGGGGTGGTCCTCCGGTGTGTGCTTCAGCAGGTCCTACCACGGGGACACAGCCGGGACGTCACCATGGGCAAAGCCTGGGCATCGGCAATGCCATGACACCCACAAGCAAAAGCCCCGACCGTGCTGCTCTGGCTGCTGGGGATGGAAACCAGCCCCACGCAGGAAAGGTTTTGCAAAGAAATGAAGCCTTGAGCTTTGACCACCACCAGCCTGGTCTTTGCCACCTCTAAAGAGGCCACCAGCTCCTGAGAGCACATGATTTGCACAGACACCCAAAATTCATCCCTGGAAGTGTTCAAGGCCAGGTTGGATGGGGCTGTGAGCAACCTGGTCTGGTGGGAGGTGTCCCTGCCCAGGGCAGGGGGTTGGAACTGGGTGGGCTTTAAGGTCCCTTCCAACCCAAACCCTTCTGTGATTCTATGAAAGTGTATCCCCACCAGCCTCAGCGCCAAGGAGAGCGACCCTGGCACGGGGAAACTGAGGCACAGAGTGGGTGGTAGTGTGACCAGTCCCAAAATGGCAGAAAGGAAGAAGGGAAGGGGACTGCACGTCCGTAGGGACATGCTGGGGGTGGGGGGTGACAGCGAGGTGACAGTCCTCAGGGTGACCGTCCCCAAGAGGGCAGAGCCACACGCATGCCCGGGGACACCAACTTTGTCTTAAAGGATGGGAAAAGGAGTCAGGAGAGACATGAGACCCCTAAAAGTTCCCGTTACGTGGAGGTGAGGAGGAGCCATGGTCTCACCCGCTCCCGGCACGGCACAGACGCCCTCCTGCCCGCACCCACCTTCACCAGCAGCTCGTATCGTGGGATCCTCTGCACCGGCTTGATCATCAGGTCAGACAGAGCCTGCTTCTCCTTGTTCTCCCGCATGCTTTGCTGCAAAACACCCGCGGGGGACAAGGAGGGGCCCGTTAGGTGGGACACAGCAGGGACTCAGCGTCCCACCAGCGCAGGACCTGGAGCAACACCCCTTTGGGGTCGGGGTGAGCTCATTTTCGCACCATCCGGAGTGACTCCGGTTCATCCCAACCCAGCCTCTTTGCAATAAAACCAAGAAGAAGGTGGGGGGGAAAAGTCCCAGTCTGACCATAGCTTACCAGTTTACCCTTATTAACCCCCATCCCACCCCACCAGCAGCCTTGGAGGTGGCTCTGGACCTTGGCCAGCATCTGTGGGGAGAGGACTCAGGACCCACCTCCAAGAACTTCATGAACGCCGGCCGGGCTTCCTTGGCGATCCTGACGGCATCCTTGGCGTTGAGGAAGTTATCGATGTAGGCAGAGTAGATGTTCACCAGCACGTCCTTGGAGAACTGGGAGGGGAAAAGAGGGGAGGGGGAAAAGGGGGATAGGTCCAGCATGGACATCCCGGGCAAGCCTGGAAGAAGCTGCCCCAAGGGTTAATCCTGGCTCTGGGCTGGCGCGGGGAGGGCTCACCCGCCTCCTGCCCCCCTCGATTTTTCAGCCCTGACATTTTTGCTCCCAAGGCAGAAACGCGGAGCTGCAGACCCAGCTGGTCGCCGCAACACCCCGCCGTTACGCTAAGCAGACGGCGGGCCTGGAGATCGTCTCCTGTTCTCCATCCCAGGCGCGTTTTAATCGCTTCCCTGCCTCCTGCTCCAAAACTTCTCCTGCTGGGGCCGTGTCCGTGAGCGGGCACGTCTGGGTTCCCCGGGGGGAAAACCATCCCGTGAAGACCTACCGACTGCACGAGGAGGTCGCCCACTTTCTGCTTCTCATGCCAGTTCTGCACGCAGTCGTGGATCTGCTCCAGGAACTGCTCGTGGTGCTCCAGCAGCTCGGGGATTTGGTCGAAGATCTCATCCACCAGCGATGGGTCGCACAGCAGCGAGTTCTCCGGCTGCTTCAGCGGCTTCATGTAACCCTGTGGGGAAGCAAAGGCATCGGGGTCCCCATAGATTTCTTTTCCCACCCCTCCCAGTATGAGTTTTTCAACCTATGTCAATATGGGGATCGGTGGCATCCTGCGGCAGGGCGTTCCCCCAGTGAACGCTGGGTTGTGGGACCCACCAGGAGGACCAGACGGTGCTGGGTCCCAGCAGGTTTTGCACCCCAGCCGGTGCATCCCCATGGCAGTGTGGGGAGCGGGACAGGTCTGCACGAGGAACCTCCAAGCACGGCGTCCTCTGGCCCCCAGCCATGGTCTCGAGAGGTTCCAAATCTTTGCTGTCATGAGCCTTGGTCACCTCCATCTGCTACAGAGCCTGACCCAGCTGGGAAATCATGGGATTCAAAAGCCGGTGAGTTCCTGGTGGGATTTAGGGTGTTTGGGACCAGGAGGGGCTGGAGCCAGCTGGGGGGATGCACTGGATCAAGCCCTGGACCGCTTTGCCCAGCAGCCTCTCTTGGGCAATGGCCAGCAAGCGATGCTCAGGGCCAGCAGGAAAAGCAGGTCCTCTGCAAGGCTGGGTGGGCGGCTCTGCTATGAAATCCCTTTCGTCCCCCCGTGGGGCAGAGCTTTGGAAAGGAACGATGTCCCGGGAATGGGAGAGCTGGATTTGCAAGGGTTGCAGGATGAGGAAGGTCTTCTGAAGACTTCCCAGCTCCTCAGCCTGACCGGTATGAGGTGCTGGTGTCCTTCGGGGCGTTGGGAGGACCGTGGAGCTGAGCGGTGAGGACAGGACCCACCTCAAGCAGTTTCAGACATCTCCATCCAAGCTGGCGAGGGAGGAGTCATCCCCCAAGGATGAGGTTCCTCAAGCTGATGGTGGATACCTCATGGAGACCCAAGTTAGAAGGGCCAAATCCTTCCTGAGGCTCCTAACCCACTTCATCTGCCCTACTGTGGCCAACGTCTCCAGTGGGAGCTGGGCTGGGTTGGGCTGTGCCATGCATCCCACCCACCATGAAACTGGGGGAGCGAGGAGCAGATGGGGACAAAGAGCACAGAGACAGCCCCCGCCTCGGCACGTAGGGTGAGCAGGCAAGGCTTGCTCATGCACCATCTGGCTTAGCTGGAAGATGATGCTCCAAGATGGTCCTTATCCCTGGTAGCCACCATGCTACGTGCCAGAGGGCCTCGTCATGGATCCCAGCACCTTGTCCCAGCTGAGCTGGGGAGCTGGGGGCATCTGGAGCCCTGTGACCTGCACCCCAGAAAGCCACATCCCCCTGGTTGCACTGTGCCAGGATGTGTCCTGTGGGCAAGTGCTCAGGCATGAATGCCCTGTGGCTCCCACCCATCCCAACCAGTCCCTCCAGTGGGCAACCGGTGAGCCCCAGCACAGCTGTCCCATCCAACCAGCCTCTTGTCCCACCGCAGAGGAGGGCACAGCCCATGGGACAACCTCCTTCCATGCCGAGACCACCAGGAACACCTCCCAACCCTGAACCCCATACGCCTTCCCCCAAAATAAACCCCAGATCGAGGGTCCTCTTGCCCCTCCAAGCCAACATCTGCACTAGGAGCAGCCTCAAAGGGTCCTTCCCTCCTGCAGCAACATCTGGCAGAGCACATCTGGGTCCACCATCCTCACAGGGGATTTATGGGAAAAGCCCAGCTGGGCGTTGGGATGATGGGTGCCCCATGCCCTCGTGGACATGCCCATCAGATGTCCTGCAGGCACCGCGTCGTAGCGAGCACAGCACAGCTCTGATTTTTTTGGTGTCTCCACCTGCAGCGATGTGGTCGGACAACCCACACCTCCGCCAGCGAGACCTAGTCTCCAGGGCGTTGACCACCATTAAGCTTCTGAAACACCTTCATTAACATCTGAAACGTGGGGTGGACCCTCCGGCCAGGCTGCTCCAGGGGGGTTGGAACCAGCTCAGTAAAAAAACAATGGAGAAAAACCCTTGGCCCGTGGCTGCAGGTGATGACGCTGAGCAGAAAATGGGGGGACACGGGAACAGGGGGTGTAAGGGGTCCCCCATCACGGGATGGCCATCAGCAACGGCCCAGGAGATGGGGTGCAACAGGAGGAAGAGCTTTTGGGAGGGGGCAAGCACGGGAAGGGGCCTGGGGACACGATACCTGCCAGGTGACAACCCACCAGGAACGTTACGGGCTTGATTTGGGGGACAGAGGTGACCCCCACACCCCGTTCTTGACCCGGCTGTCACGCTGCTCCTCCCTCCGGCCCCCACTGCCACCCGTCTCCAATCCACCCCCACGCCGCATCGGTGCTGGCAGAGCACCCGCAGCTGGGGGTCCGACTTGGGGTCCCGAGGACGGTGACAAGCAAGCGAAGGTTACGCCATGACGTGATTTGGGGTGTCACGTCCCTGGCCGCGCCACGTTACCTGCATCAAGGTGCGCAAGGACTCCACGTAGGACTGCTCCGTGTCCAGCAGCGTCATGATGACGTGTTTCCTCATGTCCTGCCCGGGTAGAAGGAAAGACACGATGAGTTTTTGGGGTGACACGATGGAAGGGAGTTACGTGATGGGTGTTGGTGCCGACACGGGGGTTCGGTGGGGCAGCTGAACGCCGGAGGAGCCCGGCTAGCGTCCAGCTCCCCTCCGCTCCCTCTCCACCCCGATGGAGGAATCCGGGAGGATTAGGAAGTACATGACACCGAGCGCACAGAGACGCCTGGTTTCCTCCACGGCCGCGTCAGGAGCCCGCCCTGGATCTCACAGCCCTACATGGGTCGGTCCCGACGCCCTCCGTCTCTCCGGCGGCTCCGCTCGGAGCCATCCCGTAGGAATTCGCCTCCCGCCCGACACCCTGGGCACCTTGGCGCTGGGCCGTGGCCCCGTAAGAAGGGGATTAATGGGGTGGTGGGGGGCACGGGGAGGTGGTGGTGTGCGATGGGCCGTCAGCCTTGGGAAGCAGATGGGTTGGGGTCTTCTTGGTTGTGGGGCTCGGAGACCCCCCCCTTGCGCGCAGTACGTGGGGGGACACCCCTGCAGCTCAGCCTGGGGGCGAGATGTTCCAGAGCCCAGGGTGTGAGACACCCCAAAAGTTTTGGGTGCAGAGATGCTCCGAAGGCTCTGAGTGCAGAGACACCCCAGAAGTTTTGGGTGCGGGATCCTCCAAGGGCCCTGCGTGCAGAGACACCCCAAAAGTTTTGGGTGTGGAAGGACTACAAAGGTGCTGGGTACAGTGTTACCCCAAATGTTCTGGGTGCAGAAATGCTCCAGAGTCCCTGGGGGGCAGAGATACCCCAGAAGTTTTGTGTGTGGATATGCTCCTGAGACTCTGGGTGTGAGACACCCCAAAAGTTTTGGGTAACGAGATGCTCCAGAGACCCTGGGTGTGAGACACCCCAAAAGTTTTGGGTGTAGAAACACTCCAGAGACCCTGGGTTCAGAGATACCCCAAAAGTTTTGGGTGCAGAGATGCTCCAAGTGCCCTGGGTGCACAGATACCCCAAAAGTTTTGCATGCGTAGACTCTCCAGAGACCCTGGATGTGAGACACCCCAAATGTTTTGGGTGCGGAGACCCTCCGCTGGCCCTAGGAGAAGAGATGCTGAGCATGGAGACTGCCATGGTCCTGTTCATGGAGACCGTCCAAAGGCCCTTGGTGCAGAGACACCCCAAGCTTTGGGTGCAGGGACACCCCAAAGGCCCTGGGTGCTTGGACACCCCCAAGGCCATGGGTACAGAGATGCCTCAAAGGCCACGGGTGTGGCGATGCTCCAATGAACCCGGGCACAGAGACACTCAAAGGGTCTTGTTAACGGTGACACCCCAAAGGCCACGGGTGCTGGGACACCCCAAATGCTGTGGGTGCAGGGATGCCCCAAAGGCCCTGGGGGCTTGGACACCCCAAATGTTTTGGGTTCAGAGATGCTCCAAACGCCCTGGATGTGGAGATGCTCCAATGGACCTGGGCACACTCAAAGGGTCCCATTAACGGTGCCACCTCAAAGGCCATGGGCGCTGGGACACCCCAAATGCTGTGGGTGCAGGGATGCCCCAAAGGCCCCGAGGACAAGGACCCTGCAAGGGTCCCGGGTGCTCAGACACCCCAAAGACCCTGGGTGCAGAGATGTCCCACCTGGTCACGTTGGGACCAGGTTGCCCTGACCCGCTGCTGCTACAAAAAAGCCGCTGAACCCCTGTGCCCCCCATCTCCTTGTGGGATGAGCCCACGTCCCCCAGCCACGCTGGGCTGTGTCCCCCCCAGTGGGGACCCATGTGCTGCGAAGCTGCTCTGCAAGCCCAGGAGGAAGCTTCAGCCCAACCATCCCTACCACAGATGGAGACCACCATCTCCCCGGTGGTCCCCACAGAGCAATGGGAAGGGATCCTGGCCAGATCCTGCTCGGTGCTTGAGAACAGAGCTGTGCCTCAGTTTCCCCACTCGCCTACCCAGCTGCTATCGGTCTTTTCAGCCAAGCAAGGAGCAAACTGCTGTCTAGAGCCAAATACTCCGGTGACGGGTCCAAGTCCCCCCAGGAAATCTGCT